AAAGAATATCTAGAATAGATACAGCCATCGTCATATTATGATAGACGAATATGGTCGAATACGCATCTCTGGTTTGATCATTGACAAAGAGAAATCAAGGCTTCTGATCTTAGCATCACTGCTTCTACAATAAGTCATGATATTTGTGATTCCATTTATGTTCCTTTCGTTTGTTCGTAGATTTGGTTATTGAATTGCGAATATGTTGTTCAGTATAAATCGATGAGTTGTGGTAGACTCTGACTTTAAAATTTCGTATACTTTTCGATCATCAGTATCAGGGCTTATGGCATAAGCAGTGATGCTGAGACTAGAAGGAACGAGCTGGAGAACATCTACGATCTGATCAACAACGTCTCTGATGACATAAAATTCAGAATTAAAAGGAAGTCAATAAATTATCATTCATGGATGTGTCAATCACCAAACTGGATGCTCAAGTATATAAACCAAGGGTCAGAATGACAAAAGAATGAAAACCTAACATCATTTAAAAGATAAATTGTTCACACTGCGAAAAACACTACACTGGACAAAGTGGACTTCCCCTTCAGCTTTGCCTACGTGAACATCAATTAGCAGTCAAACGCCACGACATTTCTTCGCTTATATCAATACATACGGACAATTATGCACATACATTCGATCGGAATAATACGGAAATTCTGGATAGAGAGAGCACAAAGAACATTATAGAATTTTTAGAAGCTTGGCACTCAAGTCACTCAGTATTGATATTGACCCAATTTATCAACCAATCAAAAAAATCATAGTTGACATAGGATCGAGAAACGGATCAAAAGAGGGATACAATCAAAACAAAGGTGCAAACAACTACAGGTTTAAGGTCAATAACAACCAGTCAAGATCAACAGGACAAACTAGGAATCGTATGTGGAGAAATTCGATTACTTTACTTCTACCTGAAGTATACGCTGATGATGTTGTTCAGAAGAACAGTGAAAGCTTCATAACCAAACCATCCAGCTCAGAGAACTAAAATACACCAAAATGGCTAGGCTGAAACAGTATTCTAGTGTTTAGAACTCAACTAGCTAAGATTATCAAATAATAGAAACTGACTTGACTTCTTAAATAATACATTTCGGTTTTTTTTTAAAATGCGTGTTTTGTACTCAAATTAAATAATTCAAAGTGTAAAGGTTTTTAAACATTAATCACCCTATCTAACCCGTATTGTTATGGTCATTGATCTCACATTTTCGTTTAACACATAAATCTATTCAGGTTAATATTTCATGATAGTCATTTCAACATTAACGATTTTATTTTAATTCCCAAGCAATCTTGAATTCACATGCCATACTTTGAAACGATGTAGTTTATCTTAAGCAAGGCTATTTCTTTAATACTTAATTAGTAGATTCTGAAGAGAATTTCGTTCATAAATTAGTGTTTCAATACAAAAAACACTAATTTATCTTAACTATCATGTTAAATATTTTGTTTGCTAGTTTGAACCAAACTTCCTTGATGATGGTATTTAGTAAACATTCTTATTTTGACAATACTAATGTAAATTTAGGCCGTTTGTAGTTGATGAGAAGTCATCAAATAGAATGCATTCATTTTATTAGGCAAATGTTGTCCTCACTTTCTTTAAATTTTACAAGAGTTAAGGTTGTATGAAATGATAAAATTTCCAGCACATTTTCCCTTCGAAGATGTCTGGGGCTTGACACTCGAAATCTTTTGTAAATTATTTATGGCCCACAATATCACGTGGTAAAACCATATCGATTTCTATGACCTGCTCCTTGGGCTGACCGATGACTCACCAAGTTCTTATTGGCTCGGAAGCTTCTCCCCCTGCTCTGCTCAGCCTCCCATTATACGAATATCATATTTCAAGTATATTTAGTTTAGATAGACGTACTCAAACTCATCACACTAAAAAATGGAAAATAACAATTATATACAATCAAGACAAAATGTGGTTGAATAGGGGAAACTGTCAATAATAAACTAGAAACAGATTAAGAATAGTAAATCGCACAAAATCAATCGGACGATTTATTATCATTTTTTTGTAGATATAAGTGTAGGATCCGAATAAAATGTATTGACAAGAATATCCTCCGTCCATATATTGGTGTTTTAATATAAAAAGGATTCTTAAACAATTTTTATCAGTACCAATTCCTCTCCTAATTTACCCAGTTAAAAGCCAAGATGTCAATAAAAGGATCTTTATGTTTTTCTTAATACACACTCGCGCACATAAACTTATTCTTTCTGAAACGAAGCAAGTAACTTTACCCAATGGCTTAATTATCCAATTGGGTAGCTTGAAGGGTCAGTAAACAATTTAGCATAACCATGTTTGCGGACTACCGTGCTACAAACCAAAATTGTTATCGTGATTATGTACAATGTGATCAATTCTTCAATCGCGTTTGACATTGTGTAAAACATTTTGCAGCCCAATGCAAATCATTACCTTATCTTGTCCCGAAACTATTTGAAAACCCGGTCATGTGACCATCTAAACAGTACTAATCACGCTTTATATAGATTTCATAAATTACTGACTTTTGTTTCAAACAAACCAGCCTCACGGAAACATGCACTCCAAGACATGGACTAGTCAACTCCCAACCGAAATTTCAGTCCAAAATAATACTACAAACTCCATTTAGTCATCTTGTTTATTCAGAACAATGACAATTCTATTGGCGATTATATGCAATAATTTTCCAATCTAGTTTAACTCCATTAGTCATACGAATAAACTTGTTCGGTTATATGATTAAATTACAATTGTCCCGAATCTGGTAAACTTATAACCTAATGTGTTTGATTAATATACGAATGTTTTATTTAGCTAACTTGACCCAAGCGATTCACCCAAGTTGGGTGTACGTGAGTGCTGATGACTTCAGCTACTATCGAAATTGTAAGCAGAACTATTCAACACACGAATACTATAAATTTTCTCCCGGTTAGCACTGTTTATCATGTACGCTTGCCTTTTGTTTTTTTAATAATTTCAATAACCTTACGGTAATTTTCTGACAAATCACTCCTAATGAAACGAGTTAATGTTCACGTGGATTCCATATCTTCGAATGAACCTTTTTTAAAAATACGATTGCCTAACAACTTGGTTGAAGATTGATTTGGTCGATTCAGTTGTCAACTAACTGCTTCTACTCGACAAAATATTGTTCTCCTGTCCTGACATTATTTTTAAGATTATGGACAGATGAAACGATGTCAGGAGGAATGTAGTAAATGTTCAAAATATAGTATCTCATCGGGACTGTATGATTGTCTTTTAATTTAAAAATTAAATTTGTGCTCCGACTGAGTGATATCTTCAAAAAATAACTATGTTTTGTTTAAAATTAAACTTCATACATAAACAGCGTGAATTCGATTGGGATTATTGCGATTCAATCTTGGTGAGACGATGCCTAAATTATAAAAAATGAATAAACAGATACAGTTTATGACTGAGGGATCTATTTGAAAAATTAATTAGGTTAGTATCCTATTTCTATTCTTTGTCCTTCTCTTATCTGGCAGTGAGTAAAGTTTCAATTCATCGGATGCTGTCGCAGTCAAAAGTGCGGTAATTCACAGTAGTGTCTTAAGTTCCTTTTAGGTTACGTAAATGATATTTGATATTACTTCTGTGTAAATAGACCTCTTCCATATGCAGATGATCTAAAGGTATTCATTTTCCCCTCACAATCTGAATATACGAAGCTGTATCAGTACAGAGCTCAATCAGAAGTTCGAACTTAACACTGCCAAATGTGGATAGGTCTGTTTTGGTAATCCTTTGCTCAACCTAGACCTAATTATAAATGATAAGTTGTTATCGAAATTTTATACAGTAGAGGAATTCGGACTTAAGTACCCCTATAATTTGTCCTTCCCAGAACAGGTATCTAACCAGACTTCCAAGTTTCGACGTCTTCTAGGTTGTATAATTCGTATTCGCTATAACAATAAATCACGTATTTCAATGTACAAACTATGTTCGACCACATCCGGAGTACTGGACTTTTTTTCTTAGTAGTCTTCGTATAAAGGATAAAATCCGTTCAGAGGCAATCTACACTATGCTTTCTTGGGACTGATTGTACGTTAAGTTATAAATCCAGATGTAATCCGCTGAAGCTTTCCGATATGCAGAAACCCTTCGTTATAGCCTCCGCAACTCTTAGTCATTAGTGATACAACCTCATTCTAGATCTTCCTTTCACCAGTAAATTTTCGAGACTCAGGAGTACATTTGAAATCATTTACAGTGGAATAAAATCACACCCATCCTTTGTTCGCTGCATCCATGCCCACTACTCTTCCGAAAGTGCCTTAAATGTGCTTACAGCTGTAAGTATATCCTATTTCACAAGTGAGATTATGGGGACTTCAAATGTTTATTCGTTTTTGTTATTTAGCCTACTAATTAAAACTAGATACTTTACACTTACACTGTCCCTTGTAAACTTAACTCATTCGAATGGTATCTGAGACGAACATTGAATAACCTTGTACTTGAACCGTAATAGACCTGACAGATCTATTACTGTGATGATTGTCTTCGCTGTCCCATGCTTTTCGTTTCCGATTTTTTCTCTAGTTATAGATGATTATAATTAATCCGATATGGCGCTGGAAATGACACTAAATACACCGTTGATACAGCAACAAGATATTCAGTTAGAAAGAATTGATAGTTCCTGACGGAGGACTTGCATATGTGAAAAATGACATTATTATCACCTACATTAAACGTTTATTTCTATATTAAGCTGGTTATGCATGTAAATCGGCATGAATTCCGTAAAATTTATTTTCAAAATATATTATTATCCTCCTATTGCTTATGGTCAGTATGTAAAGTCCTACTGTTTTCGAAACAGTTTTACTAACAACTGACTTTTCAATACCTGTTTCTACAATATGCTTAAGCACCTATTTAAGTGATGGCTATCACACTGAACCCTACATGTAGAGGAAGTTACAACTAAGTGATACAATTTTATCATAAAAAACGGTGTACTTTATACATTTCACAAAAAATCAAACTGATGATCTCAATTCAAAATTAATAAGTCTTCGAAGCAGCTCGCGATTGGATGCAGTAACACGATCGATTTCTTGTCGTAAAACTTTATGCTCTTCACTTTCCATACTGTCAAGTTTTATCTGGCTCATACCAGAAGCAGGGTAAAAATCATCCATGAAGATGCTTGCTTCTTCCGATGAACAGTTGAACTTCTGTCAAAGAAAGCAGTGTACAATAGTATAAAAGTGTAGATGGAAAAATAGAAAAGGAATTTACTAAGCTGTAAAGTATATAAAGTCTCATCTAACTTTTAAAAGAATTTCGCAAAACAATATGGAGACTAATCACAGTGTCTAAATGATTTCACATCTTTCGTGTTGAAATGAGACAAGTATTGTTATTCAGTCAGTCAGCTAAAACGTAGCACTTCAGAAGCACACATGACCACAAAAGCATAGAGATAAAATTGTCTATTCAAATCTCATAAGAGAAGACTGATCGTAATTGCTAACTTGACGTGGTGGTCGGGTTTGCATATCTTGATGATTCAATCGAGCTATATTAGCTGGAACATGTTCCTATAGATTCTAGTAGCCAGCAGGTCGATTGGAGAGCCTGAGACTAAAAGCAGAAACTTAAGGTCTGAGGACAAAGTCGTACTGCTAACTGTAGAGGGGTGTGACAGCAGTAGGATGTTTCTAGGGACAACCAGCATCTACAGAGACACTGCATTCTCACAAGGAAGGAAGGGGTTAGAAAACGTCAACCCTGAAAATATCACACCTCACCTCATCCCACGAACTTCCGCCTCCGGCAGTAAGGCTACTTGAAGAGCGGAGCTAACACTTTAAAAACGTCCCACAAAAATGCAGTGTGTAACCGGCTTTAAGCAGGTGTCTTTTGGACCTTACGATAACGCTTCCAGATCTCTAAGACCAAAGCTAATCTACCTTTCTCAAGAAACACCCTTCCACGGTGTGGGCAGCCGAAAAAAGACATTCGCCCTTACACTCATAACAGCACACAAGTACAAATAAGACAAAACCGAATCCTTGGTACACCTGTGGTGCTGTGGTGCGAGCTACTTATAAGTAGTATATGACGTGAGCGTCAACGTAATGTCTGGCAGCCGAAGATGGGATAAGATCAAGAAAGGAAGAGTTAGAAAACAATCGAATTTGTATGAAACGCATGAATAGTGACAATGGATTGATGTTTTGAAACAGGAACAGTTCAGCTCGATATGATGAACTGTTATTTTGCAAATGAACGATTTACGATATGGTTCTCCAATTTTAATGAGTAACTCTGTAATTTTCGTTAAATACAATTCGGTTGCCCCACCTGTGTTCTCTTTCACTACACACCTAATAACTCTCCACGACCGAACCTTTTTTCGTTTCTTCGTCTACTGAAACCTAAATGTTGGAGCTTTAAATATTCAAACCTTGTATCGAATAGGTCAACAGGCTTCCTTAGCTAGGACTCTGCAATTAATAAATTCTTACAATTCCAGTTACGTAGTAATTCAAAAAAACATTCGCACATGTTAGTTATTGAAAATTAGTCAATAATAAACATAAATTTAATCTATAGGTAAATGAATCTGAATTGCTGGTGTCGAGATAAATAATAACTCGGTTTACGCTCCATGTATCTAGGAGCCCTGCTGCTGATTCCTGTGGCCTCACTATTCCTAGGGCAGAACTAACTCTCTTAGACTGCATACTAGTAGATGGTCGTTTATGCGCAGTCCGACTAAACAGGACAGTTAGGACTCGAGATGATAGGGACACTCGCTGTCGCCTCTTCGTTGCCTCTGGCTACGCTCCCACAGACAGAGATAAAAGATGAGTTTTGAAGGAACCTATCTAAACTTCTTCAAAAAGTCAGGCGCTCTAATGTAGTAATAGGTACTAGTGATTTTGACGCTCAAGTAAGCAGACCAAGCGAAACTGAAAGAGACCTTTCATGGTTCTACTTAATGAATATACTTCAGAAACAACTCGATAAACAGTTTGGCGGCCATTTGGTAAGCGATGTTCACACTGAGGCAGCTTGGAATGATATACAAAAGCTACGGAAACAGCAGTGATATCTTCTAGTAAGCTAAACAACAAGGTTAGGGAGAAGCAGTGGACTGATAGATGCTCGGAAACTCATACCGTCTGGCTCTGAACGCGACGAACAGCGAAGTCAGCTTAAGCGGAGGTTGATAAGAAGTCTACTCAATGATCGTAAACAGTGGTGGTGGGTAGCGGAAGCAAGAGAGATGCTAAAGGCAGCAGCAATAGGTAACAGTAGACAACTGTTCAGACTCGTCAAGGAAACCGGGATTAGGAATACGAATTTGTTAATGTTTGTCAACGAAAAGACTACCAGACAAGTACATCAATCTCATACATGCTCTCTACTCGAACACTAATGGTCGAATCAGAGCGAACTGTCATCACAACTGATTACTTCAAGTGATGCTCGTCAAGTTTGTACATTCTCTCCATTCTTAGTCAACTTTGTCTTTGACATGTTTTTAAAGATAATACATTCCTCATATGATTTCTTAGGAGTCGACCTAATGCCACAAGATTCACTAATCGACTTAGAATACGTCGATCACATAGTTCTAATTCTTGAAGACGCTGACATTATGCAGTCTTCAGATTACCTTAAGCAACAATGCAAGCATGATCGGGATGTGATTCTCACCGTGAAACGGAAAATGTTGCCTCAGGATTGGTTTGTATCGGCACCTGAACTAGTGATAGGAAAAGAAGTAGTTCAGTGTGTCTACCACTTCATTTGTTTTGGGTATCTCATCAGTGCAGATGGCCTGATGTGTGGAGAAATCTCAGCATGGATATAGAAGGCTCGACTGGCTTTTGCCAACTTGCGTCATTTATGGCTTAGGTGAGATATCCGTCCACCTACCAAAAGACGGGTTTACTGCGCATCAGTTCAGTCCGCCCTAATTTATGGTTGTGAAACATGGTCAATAAAGGTCAGTCAGAACGTAGATCTATCAATCAATAGCAAAGCAGAACTTCGTACATACGTACATCAGTTCATGTTGTTATACCACATTAGCACAGAGATGTAATTGTCAATTCAAATTCATCAGTAGTAGAGGAAGTACACTCTGCATTTTGTCAGCGTCATAAACAAATAGAACCATGTCATCGGCATATTCTAAGTCGATAAGCGAGCCTCCTGGTAATAGGTCTACTCCTAAAAATTCAGACGAGGAAAAGGTTATATCTAGAAGCATGTTTATAACAAAATTAAACAAGAATGGAGAGAGTGAACATCCCTGACGGACATCACTTGCAGTAAAGAATTCCGATGACAGTTCCCCATATGCTCTCACCCAACCAGTGGTGTTCGATTAGAGAGCTTGTATAAGGTTAATGTACTTCTTTGGTACACCTTTCAATGAGAAGACACTGCCACAGAACCTCACGATCCACTGAGTCGAATGCCGCTTTTAGGTCCAGGAAGACAACTATTGTAGGACGCCTAGATGTGTGTCTGTGTTCCGGGACCTGTCGTAATGTGAAGATGTGGTCTATACAGCTACGTCGAGGTCGAAAACCAGCCTGGTTTTTTCTAGTCTGCTCTTCACGAGCTCTAGTTAGGCGTCTAAGGATAACTGAGGCTAACAATTTAGAAACTATATTGGTCAGACTGAATAATATCTTCTAATTCTAACCTCTCCGATTACTTCTAATACCTTTACTACCTCTTCTACTATTGGATTTGAATTGACAATTATATCTCTGTGCTGATGTGGTATGGCGACATGAACCGATGTACTTACGTACGAAGTTCTACGTTGCAGCTGACTGACTGACTGACTGACTTTTGACATTTCTCATAAACTGGGACCACTCGGGTGGGATTACGTCCAGTTCACAGATTCTACCTAAGATCTCAGTCAACCTAGCTGCTAAAACTGAACCAACATCCTTAAATATCTCAGGGGTCAGTTTATCAGGACCTGCAGCTCGCCCTCGCTTCAGATTTCCTAACGCTTTCTCAACTTCATTAAGACTAGGGGGACTTACGTCGATTTGCCATTCAGAATGACTGGAGATCGCGGGTAACCGAAGAGTGGCTCGAGGCCAGTTAAACTGATCCCTAAAGTGTTCTGCCCATCGATCCAGTCCCCTGGATTGAGAATAAATAATAGTCCCATCATTTTTCGAAATAGTCTCACTCACATTCGGGTTCCTAATACCAGTTTCCTTGATAAGGCGGAACAACTGTCCACTGTTGCCTATCGCCGCTGCCTTTTCCAACTCTCTCGCTTTCTCGATCATTGCGTAGATTTTTTATCAGCCTGCGCTCCTCATCGCACTCAGGGCCAGGCGGGATGCGTTTTCGAGCATCCATCAGTTCGTCAGATGCTACTGAGACCCACGGCTTCTTCCTAACCTTATGATATACTTTTCTAGCAGAAATCACTGCTGTTTCCACAGCCTTTTTCATATCATTCCAAGCTGTCTCGGGGTGGGAGTCACCTGCTACGTGGATGCCTAACTGTTTTTCCAGTTGCTCCAGAAATATATTCTTAGCTTTGTAATCATTAGGTATTTGACCAAAGGCGCCTTTGAAGGAGTGTTCTTGTATCGCAGGACAACCGAGTAAGATATGGGTACTATGTAAGAATGTCGGATCAGTAGACGAAGTATTGAAACTTCTTCATTTGAGATGTATTAGACATCTGTTACGAATGACCAACCACCGGCTACCTAGAGGAGCGAGGTATTTTGGTGTAGAAGTAGGTTGGAAAAAAGCTCGGGGCGGCTAGACTAAAACATGGCACAAATCCATGAAATCACTGACAAGTGGACTGAGCCATGTTAGTAGGTATAGACTACTTGGTCGGAGTCCGCGAGATGATAGTAACCGAAGATTAGAGATCTTGAATGATACGGCTGAAAAGCGTTTGCAATGGTGCAGGTGCATTCATTCTTTCTATTCATTTTCTCAAGTCCTAACCTACTGAATTCCTCATCACCTTGATCTTTCACTTTTTAAGCATCTTTCACTGGATTATACTTCTTGAATAATATCTTCGGATAGTGATCTGTCCGAATACTACTAATAATTCTAATAACTCTAATACTATGGGTATTTGAATTGACGATTTCATCTCTGTTTGCTAATGTGGTATGGCAACTGGAACTGATGTACATACGTGCGTACGAAGTTCTATGTTGTAACTGACTGACTGTATGTACAATGCCGGTGAACGAAAAGAGATTAGGTCACTAGGTTGAACAGACAAAAACATACTTTACATCTTAAACCTAAGGGTTAGTCAATTAGTAAGCTTTGGATATTATCACAACTTGAGCACATGAACATTAGTATTCACTACTTAGCGGAACGCAAGAATGATAATTTAACTCACAAACTTCAGTCCCGTAAAATCAATACCAGAAAAATAGAACAGAAGCCTGGCGTAACTCACGTCTGATGATTTATCAAATTTAAGACCAACTACAGGAAATAGTAGAAAACATAGTACTCTACAACAACTATAAATAAATCGGTTGTGATAGTTAGAAAGTAATAGAGATGTGTACTGCTTGTTTGCTTCATGACGATTTTAATAATTCACACTATACACGAATTATCTGATAAACAATCAATTTAAATTACTGGATATTTTGACGGTTCTATATTCCTGCTCTACATATGTTGTTAATGAGGCAGCTAACGTTTTCTAGAATTTATTTGGTTGCATTGTACGATTACTATTTATCTAATCATTCTATTGACTAATCGTAACATTCAAACAGAAATACATATTGGTATTCTACTACTAAATAACTCATTAGCAGCGGAATTATGTATTGAAGAAAAAGTGCAGCAATTTAAACTTACCTCTGCTGATCCAGGTATGCGGACATATACTGTGTCATCAAGTCTCCAGCCAAAGTGGCGTTTGAATGGTTCAATAAAGCATGTCCGAGGATTAGAAGCGTTCAAACTCCCATTTTGAGATAAAGCGTGATCAGAATTTGAAGAAGTTTTAGAATCAATTGATTCTATTCCAATGGTATCAGATAACCAATCAGGGCGAGGTATTAGGCACAAGCCTGTTAAACATGTATTTGTTGGATTATTTGTTATAGACGGATTGAATACTGAGAACCTCTGTATGCAAGTGAGTAATGAGTCAGGTCGTAATATTTCGATTAGCCCAAAGCGTGCACCTACTACTAACATTTCACAATTAGGATCCATCGCCATCATAATTATTGCCTTTTGTGAAGCTGAAAAACTAAAGGAGAAATGGTTAATCCGACTTTATTAAGGAGTTTATAAATGATTTGCAGAGTAAACAACCCGTCTAAGAAAACTTAGCGGCATTACAATCACTTGACTTGGGTTCCATGGTCTAATAAGCAACAATATATTACTAGATTGTCTGAAATAGTTCCCCTATGTTAATAAACAGATATCTGCACTTTGCTAAGTTTATAAATAAACTTATGTCAATAGGCTAATGGACCACATCCAATATGAAGCACAGTTCTTAAGGCCAGTATATTAAACTGGTTAAGTTTTCGGATTAACCACCTAGCTAAGTGACTTTGCGATGTTCAGGAGTTGATCTTTTGCAAACTCCAAATAATTACTGCTAACCCTATCAACAATTGACCTTTAAGATGGCTTGGAGTCTGAATCGCACCGATAGTTGAACCGAAATCTAAGCCTCTGAATTCCTATCCCGAGAAGTCAGTTGTATAAGTCGCCCTGGTCTATGGATATTCGTCGCTAGTAGAAACGTTCTTTTGTAAACAGGCAAAACTTTGGTCTTTGTGATTGTTTAGCACTAATCTACTGTCTATTTTGTGAATGTCGGTTTTACCGGTGAAGGCTGAAAACGCAACTTGCCTGCACATTGTTAACAATAAATCTCTTCTGTCAACCAATAGTTTCATTCATCATACTTATCTTCTTTGAATCTACTATTTTTTGCTGTTAATAATGTCATTAATATTCTGAAAGTTTAGACAACTTGTTTTTCGACATGTATATAGTAGAAACATTGAGTTTGTACAAAGTTTCAAGAGAAGAGATTAAACTAGTGAACTTGCACCCTGACAACCCCAAGCAACAATGCAAGCATGTTCGGGATGCGGTTTTCCCCCTCGAAAATGCAAAATGTTGCTTCAACAGTGGATTGCATTGGCACCTGAACTAGTAATAGGGAGTGAAGTAGTCGAGCGCGTAGACAACTTCACTTATCTTGCGAGTCGCGTCAGTGCTGATGGTCTGGTGACTGACGAAATCTCAGCAACCAAGTGGGCAACGCTGTTATTAGGAAACGGGCGCCAGGTAAGGATAACAGATCGATAGATGAAGTAATGAAACTTCATCAGTTAAGGTGGTTGGGGCGTGTGCTGCGTATGCCTAACCAAAGACTGCCGCCACGAGCTATGCTTCGTTGTGTAGGAGTAGGTTGGAAGAAAGCTAGGAGCGGCCAAATCAAAACATGGCACAAATCCATGAAGTCACTGACAAGTGAACTGAGTCATGTTGGTAGGGGTCGACTACCTGGTTGGGGTCCGCAAGACAAAAGTCACCAATGGTTAGAAACATTGAACGACATGGCTCAGAATCGTTTGCAATGGCGCAGGTGCATCCACTCTTTGTGTTCTCTCTAATTTTAACCTTCTGAATTCCCCATAATGTCTATCTCTCTCTTTCTAAAGTTATCTCACTGAATTATACTTCTAGAATCTCATACCTTCGAACCCTAATCTTCTCCATTACTGCTAATACTTCTACTATCGCTATCACTATTGGATTTGAACTGACAGTTGCGTCTCTGCGCTAATGGGGTATGGCAACCTGAACTTGTGTACTCATTTACGAAGTTCTGCGTTGTAACTGGTCTTTATAAAGGGTTCACGTCGTCTATGTTCCAACTATCGGAGGATAAGTTTAATACCGGCTGAATGCGAATTACTGGCGTTCGTGATACTATGCAGATTGCTCAAAACTCGGGAAAGATCGATTGGCGAGTGGGTTGGTTTCCGTTTCAGTCGAGGATGCATTGATTATTTCTTCACCGGTATATTTACTACAGGCCAATGATCATTATATTTCTGGACATCAGGGCCGCCTTCAATTCGTTGGACAAGACGGCCCCTGGTACTGTTTATTGAGGGTGTATCTAGGACGTTTTTTAAGCATCCTGAAGGCCCTATATACAAATACCTCAGGTAGAGTGAGGACTTACAATCATCAATATCCACTGTTTCATTATTTTCAATCTCACCATTCCTTTTCAACTTTGCTATCGATGATGTTTTGGGAATAGCGTGGAAGAATGTAGATAATACTGGTGGATCTGTTATCCGGAAAAACATCCTTCGACCTTTGGTATACGAATGATATTGTCTCGCTGTGCGATGATTCCCAAGCCATGCAATCAGCACTTAATCAGTTGGCACTTTGTACTTTTACAAGTCTGGTAGAAGCCTGTGCCTGAATTCATTTTTGGCAGTGAGCAAATAGAAGTTGTAAAAAAAGTTCGTGTATCTAGGTAAGTGCTGGTAGTGGTGTGAGTGATGAGATCAACCTGCGTAAAGTGAGAGCCAGAAAGACCTATGCTAATTAGTGCCATCTTTAGCGAATTCATAATGTTATTCTGGCTGAGAAAGATCAGGTTAATTTTTCTCTAAGTATGTAAAACCTGGTTTCTCCGAGCTGATGATGTTAAGCAACTCTCTATATTCAGTCATCACTGTCTCTGAAAAATTGTTAACATGCAATGGCTACATTGTGTTAGTAATGCAGGGTTTCGGCAATGTGTATTTGGGTACAGCAACGGCAATTCGATTGGTGCCACCATCTTAAAACATTGACTTCGGTGGCTTACACATGCACTACAAATGTCGTCCGAGTGCACTCCACAAGCACTATTTGCCAACGCTGGGATAAGGCAAAGAGGTAGTTAGTGTGTGACATGATATTGTGGCACGATAGAAAGTTGTACAGGACTGGAATCTGTTGGTCTTTCATAACTCCCTGGTTGGAATCTTAGATATGGTGCAACTCAGTGGCTTGAGACGCTGTGAGACATGGCCCAGAATAGAAGCCCGTGGCGGTTTTTCTGTACCTTTCTGTTACTTTGTGCATGTGAGAGGAAGTTCTTTAGTTAAAAGAAACCGTTCCGATTGTTCCCTTTAACTGAACTGCTTGTCCCATTATTATTTCAACCTCGTATACTAATTTTCGTGCATTTTTCTCCTCTATTAAGACAGACAGATACAACGCAGAACTTCGTACGTAAGTAAATCAGTTCAGGTTGCCATACCACATCACCACAGAGACGCAACTGTCAGTTCAAATCCAATAGTGATAGCGATAGTAGAAGTATTAGCAGTAATGGAGAAGATTAGGGTTCGAAGGTATGAGATTCTAGAAGTATAATTCAGTGAGATAACTTTAGAAAGAGAGAGATAGACATTATGGGGAATTCAGAAGGTTAAAATTAGAGAGAACACAAAGAGTGGATGCACCTGCGCCATTGCAAACGATTCTGAGCCATGTCGTTCAATGTTTCTAACCATTGGTGACTTTTGTCTCGCGGACCCCAACCAGGTAGTCGACACCTACCAACATGACTCAGTTCACTTGTCAGTGACTTCATGAATTACTGCCATTAAGCTCATCTTCCTTTTTCTTTACTTCAAAACCTCATTCTTACTGTGCGGCGCATATGTACTTTGGTGTATACTTGTACTAAAACTTATGTTTTAAGTAATATTAAATAAAATAAAACAAGCATTGTAACCAGGTTAGTGGTTCACAACTTAACACAGATCGATGATCAAAACTAACGCCACTTGGATTCTTTAATTTTATAAAGTCTCAGAGACACTGACAGATGAACACCAATTAATTTGTGTAGAAAACATGCTTACCTGGAGTCAGAGAAACAACGATGAATTTCCTTATCTGCGGAATAACAACCCTAATAAAAAAGAAACATTAGGAATGCAAACCATTTATTAGTTAAAACCGTCCCGCTGTTGGCATTTAATTTTGATGATCCTAAGTCTATCAAAATAAATGCATATAGGTCTAACACTGAATATAATTAAGATATAAAACCCAACGTAATACTACTCTTAGGTAACTCAGAAACACAAGTGTTAATCAGTGAAAATCTAAACACATATTAATGTTAAGTTTAAAACTTTATTATCTGAATGAATGACTTTATGTACATAAGTACGAAGTTCTACGTTGCAACTGACTGACTGAATGACTACGGAAGAGTGTAACATTGAGAATACTTAGGCATCCATAACGGGATGTATTTTAAGTTTTTTTGATAAATAAAACTCTTACTACAGGTTAACCATAAGAAAAACTCGTTTACATAGCATCTGTTTAACCAGAACAAATCTCACAAGCTGAAATAATATTTACTTCAAACACGGAAAATGATATATACTGACTAAATCCAATGACGAACTGCAGAGATCCATTTGCATGATTGATGCCTTTAAAATAACATAACAAAATCAGATACATGTGGACAAAATTTATGATACGAATTTAGCATGCTGATACAGTTTAATCAAAAAATAGGGTTTCATGTGCTTATCAAGTCGCTTGTTGCGTTTTGGTAAAACGATTTAGGTTACTCACAAGTAGCCTGAAAAATATTGAAAAATAAAACAATGTGAGGGTCAATCATTCTTGACGAGGCAGAAATTATCAGAAACTTAAAAAGTAGTTGACTTAAGGTAAAGTTTATCAGCATCTACAAAACTATTTAGTAAAATCGGAGGTTGGACTTGTAATTGAATTGTATCACAAGAACTCGATAATTCGTTCACTGAAACTTTGTCTCTACTCTAAAAACGTCAAAATGCTGATAGGAGGACATTTTTAAAACGGGAGAAAAAGACGGAATTAAACTGAAACCGCACTGGGAAGGAAGATCCTTACGAGTTTGTCAAGGGATAGCAAAAACTGCAGAAATAAAAGCGGAAAAAGATATCTCATGCAAAAAGGAATATGAAAGAAAATATTTTAGTGTAGGTTTTTCAACATTTTAGTCGACAAGATATGAAACTAATATCATTCTGCATATGAAGCAGGCTTAGGCGCGAAGTTGAGCAATATTTGACTTGATAAGATAGAAATGAATACATAACATAAGTGAAAATAAGTTTTAGGATTGACAGGTTAACAAGTAGACAACCTATCTTACCGTTCGAGATTGTAGATAAACTGTGTAGAGTAAACCTTCATTTCCACCGCAATATAGATTTCCATTGTTATCGGGCGAAGGGCAAAGACTTAACAACCCACCAGAAACGTTTGTGAGTAACGATCCCAAAACACTGCCATCGTATAAAGAATATAACTGTAAATAATAAATATGATCATTAATTATTTCAAGTGTATCCCTAAAAGCAAATACTTAACAGGTATGGAGTGGACTGGAATGGTAATACTATGAATTTCCATGGTTCTAGGTGGAGATCCTTTTGAAAGTTATTAACAGTTTTATTTAGGGCCATATAACCTTTACGAAATTCGGAAACAATTTACAGAGGTTGAAGTTTTTATAGTTGAGAGCACATAATAACTTTTACTAAGTGAACGACATGGTGTATCCCAATAAAGCGTATTTCTGAAGATTGGCTTATAGATGTAACTTGAAGCTCCACAGTCCAATATGTTTGGCAGATTTAACTGGAATCATTTTCTGACATCACAAATGAAAACAGTATGGCCAGAATTTAATCAGGAATGTTGTTAGATTTTGGAGATTGGGAATTAATTAATGAGGCATTTCGAAGTTTTGACTGATTGCTTCTTTTCGACTCCATATTGAGACAGCTAATTATGATTTCCAAATTAAAATGATAGACCTACAAACTGATAAGGCTGACTGGATGCTTTAAACAAGCAAACTTCTTTGGGTTCTCTCCGTTATTAATAACAAAGAAGAGGTTTCATAATCTAGAAATATTTACTTCTTTCGGTTAACTTATGTTTACAAACAAGCGTTTTGCGTAAGTCGTGATTGATATCTCAACCAGCAGACAAATCCATATTCGGTATTACGCGTTACAGAGATCAGAACGACTTTTGACTACAATGTAGTAGTGAAAACTATCCGCAAGGCACTCATCTCACTAAGAGAGTGGTACTTTTAATAATGATTGTGTAAGCAAATGATAATTTTATTAACAAAAGATGGATATCAATATCTAGAGTGAAAACATTCTGGTTCACTGTGGCTTGCTTCACACAGCATCTGTACTGATAGGACATTATTAATAGCCTTTCCTTTCTGTTGTGTAGCTACATGTAACTTCTGATAACAAATAAAATACGACACTGTCTGAGTTATTAAGAAAACATACCAACTTACCTTAAGGCCTTGTGAACCGCCCACTATAACTATATCCTCCATGACTGCGCATACAGGATGACCAGTACTTGCTTGAATAACATACCAGAGAGGAGGATGTTTGACATTTGACAAGTTGGTATTTGGATGAATCTCGATTTCAGTAGCGCCCTGCGCACTCATCGTGCTCAGTCCGTTGATAAGACTCCCCAAAGACCAACAAGCTAGAAATCCGGCTATATCAGTGGAAACAAGAAATGCCGGTCCATTTGAATTCCACTTAGACAGTTTCATTTCACATATTCTTGCTGAGTGAGATCCTTCCAAAACACCCATAAGGCACCCACTGCCAGTCTTCAAAAGTTATTACTAATGTGTTAACCTACCTGGTATACATAAATTTCCCTATCGAATGCAATGATAATGTAATTTCCATCGGGGGTGAAGACGTAAGCACTAACTAGTCCTTTCGTCAAAATATTTTTGTGTGCTGAAGTCTAGTTAATATATTTCAACGGGAAAAGAATAGATTACAGCACTATTAAAATTCCAAGTTTGTATAATAGGTTTCTTGGCAGCTGCACAAGTCACACCTCCGAAATACCCAGTGATAGACGATTTTAAAGCCATATCACCAGATAAACTAGCGACTGGATTTCCTCCCAAAGGATCCCATACAATAGCGGCATCAACCTGTTTTTCACTTGTGGTAGTAACCAAAAGTGAAGTCATGGCTCAATTTAATGGGTTCACACAAAAACAGTAATGTTGAGGTCTGTAGAATAATAATGGAAGAAAAAGTTTATTTAAATCTTGCTAGAGATATACAAAGATGAAGAGTACTGTCACTGACTGGATATTCTAAAAGCTAACCACAGTTGTACAGCCATATTTATTTTCTTTGCAGAATAAACATTACGCATTTATAGATTATTGGAAGTCCTAATGAACCCCGCACTCAGTTTAGGAATTGTATCAGTTGAGGAGGCTCAATGATAGATGGTATTGCTTGAAACCTATTTAATAGTGGTATGATAGACGAAAATGCAGTTTAACATGAACGGATGTCAACTGAGCAACATTATTGTAGTCTTAGGTCTAGTACTGTATACAATAGACTGCTAAGTTTGAGGATATTATGGTTGTGAGGACTTAAATGTATTTTATCTGACTACCAATCTTGATAACTAGTCATACAAATGAAACACAAAAAATATGTTAAATATATATTGCACTGACGAACAAGAGTGACTTATCGGCCAATCGGGTGTTTAATTATGTGCGGATTTGTAGCAAACATAAATGTTAACGGAAAAACAGTTTTGATATAAGTAAAGGAATTCATGTCAAACTCCTTACTACAGGAGATAAAAAGATTGTTGTTGTGGACAGGTCAGTCAATCAGTCACAACGTAGAACTTCGTACTCACGCACAGCAGTTCACGGTGCCATAGCATAAAAGCTCAGAGATGAAATAGTCTATTCAATAGAAATATTAGCAGTATTAGAGAAGAGTGAGGTCGAGAATATCATTCAAGAAGTGTGATCCGGTTACATAAATTTAATAAGAGAGGAAACGTTATGGAGAATTTGGACGATCAGAACTGCAGAAAAGACAAAGAATGGATACATCTGCGTCACTGCAGACGATTTTCAGCAATGTCAAACAGTCTCCAACGAACGATCACTACTATCTCGCCGAATTCAACCAATTAAGGTCGCCTACTACTATTGACATGGTCCATTCCACTTGCCAGCGACTTTACGGATTTGTGCCATGTTTTGGTTTGGCCACCCCCAGCCTCCTTCCAGCCTACTCTTACATCAGACAACGTCGCTCGTCAAGTTAGTCGGTGGTTAGGCATATGTAATACATGTCCCAATCACATCAACTGATGACGATTCGCATTGCTTATAAGAATGAAGAAAGTGGACATCCCTGACGGACACCAGTTGCAGTAATCAGCTAGCACGATAATTCGCCATAAACCCTGACGCAACCAGTAGTGTTCGAGTGGAGAGTTGAGGACTAGTAGCTGAGTTAAGAGACAAGGATTGGATATTGTTCAGGTTTGAGAGGTGAGACTAATTTATGGACGACTTTTGAACGATGCATAAGTGACACTGAAAATATTCACCTACATACTAGGGTATAAAATGATTTATAAATTTATGAGGGGTCAGGATTAGTATTTCAAGTTGGATATTAGAGTTGATGGTTTCCACAACTTGACATCATCCGTAATGCCCAAGTGCTACTTAACCATATGAATGAACAAATTCTGCGCCGAAATCCAAGACTTGCCATCTCAGATGTGGTTGATTTGTCTCGGATACTATTTGCACCAAGAGCAGGTCTTTTTGGTAATTATACTCATAAATCATATCACAATTACTATGTGATGGCACAGAATGTGTTTTTGATTTTATATATCTTAAAGAATACATATAACCGTTCTTAATTAGTTTCTAATGAGATACAACATCCACTACTGTCTTTTTGATTAAGAATACACCCATGTACGATCTTAAGTTTGGCTGAATTACCAGCACGGTATTGAAAATCGGTCCGCAGGTTTTAAAATTAAATAAGGACATATACTTTGTGTTTAAATCAGACTACACAGTATGGGTGGTCAGTAACTTGACGAATTCGAAAGTTTCGGATCCGAGACAGCCCTCAATTTGCTTTTACAAGAACTTTGCAGTAGTTCACGCTGAAACACATAGCATACTAATCAATAAAATCTCAAGAGTTTCAGAAACACCAATCAATTAGACACAGCACAGGACTTAATTCATACCTTTAAGTTTATGCACAGGTTTGACCTGGAGTTAGCGAAGGGGAAAACTAACTTTACGAAGCTTTTTTCAAATCTATATACATGTTAGCGTGTTGAGCATTTTCAATGCAGTAAATTAGGCTTCACAGTGCCTTAGATATTATTAAACAATTCAAATCCAGAAAAAACATTCTGAGCGACTCAGAAGCAGAGATAGCAAAACTGAGTTGGTTACGATGCAATGAACTAAAAATATTGGGGTTCAAAACCGAGTACAGACAGCACATAGGATATCTGGACAACTCTCACATCTATTTGTTGTCAACCCGATGAAATACAGTAAACTTTTACTAGTAGAAGACTTCATAATGATGAATAACACACGAGCAAATGATGTAAAAGATTAAGGGCGAAACCAATTACCACAAACAACCCGTAAACAAAAAGCGCAAACCTGTTTCTTAAAAAACATGCGCGTCAAAAAGTTTTTATAATTTCATTAACCTATCGTAACTAAAGGTCAGACTTGCTGAAGCAACAATTCCTTTTTTGATGATTGACAAAGATTACGTTATATCTACTTTTTTAGTTTGCTTTCGAAATTAGTTGTACACGTTCTAGTATCTACTCGTGACAAAGCATCTAGATAAACACATGACTCATTTTATTCGAAATGTTTCACCTAAATATATTCTCAACGTAGGCAGGATAAACTGTAAGCCAAATTTAAGGCATGGGCACAATAATAACGTAAAGCTTGCAGGACGCGCGTATCTAAAATTGGGTATCCAATATCCAATATCTTTTTTACGAGCTTGTATAAACCAGTTGATTTCTTTGAACTCAATTCTTGTTCTTTCAGTACGGTTTCAGATGTTTGGTAGTGTGCAGTGAATGGAGGTCGAGCTATTCGACTTTCTAATTTTAGTCAGTCGGTTGTTGGTTGTGAGATTGTATGTCTCGTGGTTTGAAATAAAACGTTTGTTTCAGGGTAGTAGGGTTTCTGTAAACTAGAAGCTATCAAATCGCTAGACCGGAGATAAGTTAGTTGCAGTTCGGAGAATAATGAAGCGAAAAAAATCTAATGATAGTAAAAGAGGATTTCAGAACTAAGTAATATATAGATAACTTAGTTTATCAATTGGTAGTGGAGATTCTGCGAGATGATCGAAGTGTAAGCAATGGAGAGCAAAACAGAGACAGTAGGCGAGACATATTGATGTAGTGATACGAGGAGATGGCAATTTTAACAACTAGCAAGTTTCGAGACATGCGTCAGGCACTGCTGGTCTATGAGAGAGTGGATAGTCCGTAAATGAGTATGTGTTTATCAAGTCTCTTGAATGTACTTATTCTGTGCCATCACACAGTAATTGTGATATGATTTATGAGTATAATTACCAAAAAGACCTGCTCTTGGTGCAAATAGTATCCGAGACAAATCAACCACATCTGAGATGGCAAGTCTTGGATTTCGGCGCAGAATTTGTTCATTCATATGGTTAAGTAGCACTTGGGCATTACGGATGATGTCAAGTTGTGGAAACCATCAACTCTAATATCCAACTTGAAATACTAATCCTGACCCCTCATAAATTTATAAATCATTTTATACCCTAGTATGTAGGTGAATATTTTCAGTGTCACTTATGCATCGTTCAAAAGTCGTCCATAAATTAGTCTCACTTCTCAAAACTTCGAATTTACTCACGTCCCAACAGCTGAATAAATTACTTACACTAATTCACTAACATTTAATCACCGTGGTTTCTTACTTACTAATCGCCTTACTCATGAATTTTTAATTCTATTTTTCCCCATTTTCTTTCGTTAGCTGCCTATCCTTCCTATCAACAAACTTCCTTTAAACTGATTCATAGTTTACAGTGTATACCATTTTGACATACAGAAGCAAAAGTTGTTTTGTTAGCTTGCATAGCGGAACCAATAGAATCATTGTATCCCAACAAGGTGTGTAAGACACAGAGCTCAGACTAAAACATTAATAAAAACATAGCACAAAAAGTAAGAGAGCCTAACTTCACATCCGGAGGGAGTTTGGTGGGGCAATAACCTCGATCCGCCTATGTCTGTAGGGTAGAACATTTGGTTCGTTTACTGCTCCTTATGATATATCAGGATGTCACTAATTAATCATAAGTGTATTATCTCTCCATGCCAACCGTGACTATTTCTCATGATTGTAAACATGTAATTGTCTCACTTTCTACCGGGAAATCATATTAAAGGTTGGCTTGTGACTTCTTAAGCAACGGTTTTAAAGAATACGAAATACTTCACCTGTTTTTCTCTTAAATATTAAAACCAAAGCTTCAGATTTTTTAACTGACAGTAGAGTCTGGCCAGCGTCCATTTCACAAGATTATCCTAAAATACCTAGATTTGCCATAAGAATATCTTTCAATGAATAGGTTAAAACTGCAGTAGTAGACTGTGGTTAATACTGGGAGTTTAACGATGAACAGTAATGTAAATTGTTGACAAAAATCATCACCGATCCTTGATGATTCTTCACCATTTTTAACAGTAACTGGTGAAATTCAGGCAGATATCAAATTTCATCACAATGGGAGCCAAAAGGTTTGCTTAGGCTAAACATGACACAGTGCTTATTTCTACTAAAAAGCCTTTTCGTTATTTCAGTCTAAACTCTCAATCTTTTATTGGTAATTTGAATAATTTTCTGATTCAAGATTATTTGCTAAACGTCCCGTTTCCTCGAACAGCTTGGATAAGTTTCGCATAACCTCGTGGTGATCTAACAAAAAAAGATATTTTGTTTGGCAATCATTGAGTAGTCTGTCTGTGTCAGATCCAGTTTTGAAGGCTTTGTTTGTGAAAATCCCTCCATATATACATTCGTAATTTGTCCTTATTGACTGCTTAGTTGTACATTTTGTTGATCTGTTTGATTTCATTTTGAGATGATAACAATTGTACACATTTGAAATCACCAATCAATCACTGTTAGACCACCATTAGAAACCTGGAAGCACCGGACGGCCGTTTCGTCCTGGTGTGGGACTCATTAGCAGTGCGCATCCACGACTCCTGCCTCTCGCGGGATTCAAACCTGGGACCTTCGGTATTGTGCGCGAACGCTATTTCTTCTGCCTCTACTAAGTCTCTATGTTTCTTTCGGAACTGCATTATGTTGTTTAAGCTGAAAATTAGTCATAGCGACAGCCATATTTATATATTCCTCTTTCGATTGGGTTGCTTGCTTTGACTTGAACTGTGTATTTTGATTGTGAATTGGAGCATTCTTCCAGAATTTGAAACACTCTGTGCTATAGAGCAACCAAATATTACCTGTCATACGAATCTGATCTATCCAGAAGGGATAGAATAACATTTATTTATCGCTGTCGATTTAATTAATTGAAATACTGTTGAAGAAATAACCAAGTGGTAATATTTGTCTAGGTAATGATGTATATTTATATTTTTTGATGAATATTAGAACCGTTATTTACCCAGATCACTTGTTTTGAGTTAAACAGGGTCAAGAAGCGTTTCTAAACTACATGGGCTGTTATTCCTCGGTCCAAACCTCAGTTTTGATCCTACAGTCGGTTTAGCTTTGTTCGCATGAAGCCTACATCGTCAGTATGTACAATAGTAAACAAAACCGGAGGTCTCCTAAGTACGTGTCGTTTTAGTTTGTCTTACCTAGACGAAATATCTCTATGATTTCAGAGTGTGGAAGTAGGTAATCACTTAAACTCAATGACAAAGTCCTGACAGTGTGAAGCTAAAATGTTATGGCAGTAATTTTCTTCTTCTGCCCTTATGGATGCCTAAAAGGAATCTTAAAAGTCATTAATGGATAAAATCAAACAGTGGATCATAATAGCATATTTATGCTCTGACCAAACAAATAAGGTGTGAATTCATGATGTCTACGGAAAATATCAATGTTTACACTAGAAGAATTTCGATGGCTCTTCTATCGCACACGCAACAACAAATACAAGAGAAGACGACCAGTAAAGCAGCAGCCTCTGCAGCAGTAGGTCTCAACATACATAAACGAAAAAGTAAAATTCTCCGATGCAACTCAACATGCACCAACCAAATCACTCTTCATGAAGATGCCTTGGAGGACGTTAACACATTTACATATCTGGGCAGCATCATCGACAACTGAGGTGGTGATGCAGATGTGAGGGCGCGTATCGGCAAAGTAAGGGCTGCATTTCTACAGTTGAAAAATATCTGGAACTCCAAACAACTTTCAACCAAAACCAAAACCAGGATTTTCAATACAAATGTCAAGACAGTTCTACTGTATGGAGCGGAAACTTGGAGAACTACCAAAGCCATCATCCATAAGATACAAGTGTTTATTAACAGTTGTCTACGCAAAATACTTCGTATTCGTTGGCCAGACACCATCAGCAACATGGAAATGTGGGAGAGAACAAACCAGATTCCAGTGGAGGAGGAAATGAGGAAGAAGCGGTGGAAGTGGATAGGACACACATTGCGGAAAGCACCTAACTGTGTCACGAGACAAGCCCTCACATGAAACCCTCAAAGCAAAAGGAAAAGAGGAAGGCCAAAGAATACATTACGCCAAGAAAAAGAGAAAGATATGAGAGGAATGAACAAACATTGGACAGAACTGGAAAGGGAAGCCCAGGACAGAGTTGGTTGGAGAAAACTGGTGGGCGGCCTATGTTCCATCGGGGGTAACAGGCGTAAGTAAGTAAGTAAGTAAGTTTCACTTTAGGAAACTTTGACAATAAAGTTGACAATGTAGTCTTGCAAGAAGATTTAAATCTTAAGAATTGAACGAAAGTCACTCTTGGGTCCGAAACTAATTATTAAACGGAATGGCATTGCAAATTCGGCGTTTACTGTTAGGATCTTGCTATTTTTCAGACTTATTGTACATAGGTAAAAATCTCTTTTTAAACTGAATTAAAGAACATATTTATTTTAAAATATGAGAGCAAGCTGTAAATTACATGGCGGGTCCACAATCTAGTCCTCATACTGAGTGATTTTAAATTATGCATAATTTCATCAAATATTGCACCCGTTATAGGAATGGGAAACAAAAAGACATCCTCTTGTGTTGATCTTCAATTAGTCTATCTCAGTATTTCCATTTATTTACTCTGACATTTTCAGTTATGACGACTGGTTTTGCTTATTGAGTTATCTCTTGCTACTGATTTTGCTAATTATCTCTTATTGTTTTAGTGTGTACTGTCGGAACTGAGCAAACTAGTTATTTTATATGAATCATCCTATGTCCAACTTCTATCGGTTACTTCAAGAAAATAATTATTGAATGGTATTACAGTGGGTCGATATAAATATACTTCCTCATGAGATTACCAAGTTAAATCCGGATAAATCCAAAAGTCAGAGAGAAGATTGTTCTGGATGAAGAAGTATATTTGTCGCTGGCCTCGTGTTATCGAAACAGTACCAGGACCAGGATAAAGAAGCGGATAACAACAACCGAGGAGAGAAGCGGAAGGGGAATGACACGCTTGGCGCTCGAGAGTTAGTCTTCAGTATAGATAAACAAAAGGAGTACAATCTAACAATCATTGTCAGAATTAAGTACAATAATAAATGTCTGCATTTCAGCAATTGTTTTATCTTCGTAAAAGTGTATCACTACAGTATTAACATTCTTAAATATTCTTTATTCAATATATGTGGGTATTCGTTATAAAATGAAAGTATGTGAGTGGTCACAACTGAAATGTGTTCATTCATGAATAAACCGATACGAATGATTTGA